TCATATTCTCCCAGGGAGAGTTGTCCCCATGTGTTGGAACCATAGAGAGCACAAGGTGGTATTACTCGTTCTAATACTCGAACAGCTGATAAAGGGTTTAACCTCCAAAAAATATACCATGGCTATGATGTATATTGATATGTTTCTTTAACTTTTCACAAGCAACTAAAGTGCGTTCAAGTGACTTTCCATTACTTGATAGATGTACACCAGCATAGGTCACTGACGATTTCTATGGTAGTTTGTTCTGCCCACAGTACAGATCTGGACATAGCACATTTGACTGACAGCGTGAGAAGACTAGCAGGGAGCTTTTGCTTACATTATACACCAGTTGCCACTTACATGCATATGCGTTTGCAATGTTCAATAGGTTTTGGAGAGCTGGTGGTGAATTGCTGGCAATCGTTGTGTCGTCAGCTAGGAGTTGGCCTGGGTAGTGTCCCCAGGGTAGCCACAAGCCGTATCCAGAGCAGTCAAGTTCACAGATGAGTCCATTGATGTACACGGTAAAAAGCCAGGCAGACAGAACACGTCCTTGGCCCACGCCTTGATTGATTGTGAATAGTTCGGATTCACAGCCTGAAAATGTCACATATGACTGCATAGAGGAATACGCATTATGCAACAGACGCCAGGTTCTGCCTGTAATACCCATCTCATATAGCTGGGGAAACAGGCCATCCAGCCAGACACGATCAACGCCTTTGAGTTATCTAAAAAAGCACAGTAGACGACAGATTGTCTTTCATTATAGTATGCTATGTTCTCAAGCTGACTAAAGCAGGCTGTCTCTGCCCCGGCGTTTTTCCGAAATCCAAACTGTAGAGGGTGTTGAAAGTCACATTTAGTATTTATATATCGTTCAATTCTGGTCAGTAAGACACGCTCCAACAGTTTGCTGAGGACAGACGTTAGGGTAATTCCTCTGTAATTGTTAAGATCGGTTTTTGGCTTACAATATCCCTTGTGGATAGGTAGGATTTTACCAACATGGTACGATGATGGTGTGCACTCATATTCTATCATTGAGTTAAACATAATGGCAAGGTGCTGAAATAATGACCGTCCCGAGTGTTTTAGATGTTCGTTGGTCAGGCAATCGGGTCCTGGGGATTTGCCGGTTTTCAGTGTTTTAACAGGTGAATTTTTTGTATCCTCATGTACATCTTTATTGGGATGATTAATAGATGCAACTTTTTCTCTGACATAACTGGCAAATTCCGTGTCGAATTGTTGTAACATAACAGGAGTTGCTAGTGTTTCAAAGTGGTTACTAAAAGCATTACATATGCCTTCAGGCGTAGCTTCGTCACAGCCATCCATAACTATTTTTTTAGTGAGTCCGTTTGATCGACTTAATCGTTTAGTTATTTTGAAGTATTCACCAATGTCCACGTCTGCTGATTTTGAGATTTCATCAAATTTTGATTGGATAGAGTGCTGTTTTGATCGGCGGTGGTGTTTCCTGAATTCACGCTTTGCATCTTTGTATTTAACATAGCTTTCGTCTTCTTGTTGCGTGGTTTGCCTTGTGCACACCATTCCCGGCGAAGTGATCTCATTTCGTCATGGAGGGGTTTGAGGTTATCCTTTCTCCAAAATGGCTTCAGGTAGGGCCTAAAGCTCGAACATGGAATGCTTTCAGCTGCTGCTTTATGAAGACTGTCTACAATATAATCATTATAAGCGTTGATGTAGGTTTCGGGAGTCGAATATCCTGATATTTCGAAAGATGCTTCACGAAGGTAGGATTCAGTTTCGTATCGATATAGCATTAAGTCTATATCAGTAGCTTTCCTCCAGTTAAGTCTACATCCTTCAGAGCGTGCACAGGTGGTAGTTAAGTTCATAAACACCATGATCGGCAAGTGATCAGACACTGAGTAGGTTACAGACCTGTCAATAAGGTATCCTGTTACACATGGTAGATCATCTCTATGGATAAACACATAGTCGATCAGAGTCTGTGATGAACTGCATTTTGAGGAGTATGTATATTGCGATTGATCGTCAATGGGCACAATGGAGAGAAGATGCCTTTCAGTGAGCGCTCTCTGAAGATATGCTGAACGTTTTCGCAGTGATATATGTGTTCTCAGGTCTGCATTGAAGTCGCCTAGGAGAATGATATGGCCCTGTGCAGAGTATATATCATACAGCGACATGGTGTAGTCCAGGGTTTCAAGGTATACATATTCTGGAACGTTCGGGGATGGTAGATGAGTGCCAATCACATACAACACACTGTGGCCATCATCAATCCGGACAGCCACAACGCGATCATACTCATCAGTCTCTAGTTCCACGATTTTACTTCCTCTATATTTTCTGACCAGTAGGGCTACACCACCAGAACCTCTATGACTAGTCAGTTTGGATGGCGAGCATTTACTAAACACAAGAAAATCGTGGTTGATTGCCATCAGATTGGTTTGGGCAGCCTCATCCAGCCAGGTTTCACAAACAACATAGCATCACAATGAGGCTAACGCGTGCTCGCAGTTATTAAGTCCACGAATATTCCAGGTTCCGAAGGATGTATAATCCATAACAACAATCAATAGAAGGACTAAAATTTGACGTATTACCCTATTCTCATCCATTATTCGTGAGTGTGGTGGAATCGTGATGCTGTATCCTTGCTTTGAGTATACCAATATTTCCTAGGTACCCACTCTCGGCAGAACACATCTTCAGGCCAGAACGTTGAATGCCGTGCCGTGCGGCAATATGCACCCTTTTACTGTTTATGTTTATAGGCTGAAGGAGCGGCAGTGTCACTCAACACTGATGAAGGAGCAACTGCAAATATCGTACACATTTTGGTGTAAAGTTTTGTAAAGAATTCTGTAATGGAATCTGTTTCGGCATGTAATCGGAACTGAATAGTCCCTGTCGGATCATCTCACCGCTGGAGATAGAGGTGTCAGTTTAGCATGTAAAGTTCGCCAGCCACTCCGGCCACGGTTTGGCAGTTGTTGATGGTATCATGAAGACCCCCAACTTAATTCAAGCTTGATATCCATCATAGGGTGATCCTGTCATGCTGTGATATCACAGAGATGGTCCATACTATTCAGGTCTTGCTGTGATATCACAGGGACTGTCCATACTATTCAGGTCTTGCTGTGATATGACGTATAACATGTATTTAATCCTGTGTCCTATATGCACACTGTCTATCTCAGAGTAATGTGAATGACGGATTGCTTGCTTTTGAATTTGGTGCTATGACTTTTTCCGTTTGTAAATGATAGTGTAATGATTTAGAGTTTAAGAAAAATCTTTTTAAATTGGTATTTAAATTGTGTTTGAATTCAGACTTGATCTCTTCACTTTATGGCTGGAATAATGCCGATGTGACGTAAACCGCAACTCAACCCAACTCAGCTCAACTAGAAAAAACATATGCTTTATATGGGACTAAAGTTTTTAGTAATGCTCAGCTTCTAGAACTTTTAGGGTTGAGTCCCATCCATGAGTCGTTCCCACCCTGTCAAAGTAAGGCACCTAATAGCCAGCACACAAACGTCAGCAATCTAACCCATTCAGCCATAGCGGCTTCCACAAAATAGAAGTCTGACAACTGCTAACGTTGATCGCGCACTAGTGTACCCCTCTGGAAATAGGCACTGCTGCCGAAAGCTATGAATACACAATTTGTATTTCAATTATTTAAAACCCTTGTATTGTTGCTGACATCATACCTATCTGTTACCTACCTATTACTTTCTCGGTTGTATATATACAATAAAACATTCACTAACATGTATCTGGTTTCTGTTCTTATTCCTTTTGTCGTCTACTACCGTAGTTGCTGCAAAGTAGGCCCGCCCCAGTCACAACATGAAATGGACTCAACAATCATTACCATCTGTGTAAACGATTATTTGAAGATAGACAGTAATCTCCAGCATTGCTGTCCTTTGGGCCGTAACAATAGATATTCGACTATGAAGCTGCCGTCATTTCAAATTACCTCCCATGACAACGTCAGATCCTAGCCATGCTGAGATCGATTTGCCTTGATTTGATTGATGAACTGACGAAGGATGATTTTTTTCACCGATGAATTTGGTGATTGTCAATATTTGTAAAGTGATTTTAAGGTGTGTAAGTAACGGATTACTGCGCGCGTTTCTGTCAGATACAATTTGTCTTTCAACTCCTTCTCTTATCAGATACGGGTTGAAACACTTTGTAAGATAAATGACATTTGACTGACGCCGTTGTACAAAACAACCTTAGCGGTAAGACTACCGTAAGTCTATGTTAAGGTATGGGAGTTATGATCACCTTAGCGCTAAGACTACCGTAAGTCTATGTTAAGGTATGGGAGTTATGATCACCTTAGCGCTAAGACTACCGTAAGTCTATGTTAAGGTATGGGAGTTACGGTCACCTTAGCGGTAAGACTACCTTAAGTCTATGTTAAGGTATGGGAGTTTCGGTCACCTTAGCGGTAAGACTACCTTAAGTCTATGTTAAGGTATGGGAGTTACGGTCACCTTAGCGGTAAGACTACCGTAAGTCTATGTTAAGGTATGGGAGTTACGGTCACCTTAGCGGTAAGACTACCTTAAGTCTATGTTAAGGTATGGGAGATACGGTCACCTTAGCGGTAAGACTACCTTAAGTCTATGTTAAGGTATGGGAGTTACGGTCACCTTGTGAGTGACTGTGAGAGAGAGAGAGTGAGAGAGAGAGAGAGAGAGAGAGAGAGAGAGAGAGAGAGAGAGAGAGAGAGAGAGAGAGAGAGAGAGAGAGAGAGAGAGAGAGAGAGAGAGAGAGAGAGAGAGAGAGAGAGAGAGAGAGAGAGAGAGAGAGAGAGAGACTCTGACTGTGACTATGTGACTGTGTGTATGTGTGTGTATGTGTGTGTGTGTGTGTGTGTGTGTGTGTGTGTGTGTGTGTGTGTTTGTACAAGTGAGAGCAAATCTTGGTGTATGATTTGTCTGACCCCAGCCCTGCGCGTTGTCTAAGCGATCACAGCTTTGCATAGACATTGATATGTTCTCTGTTGTGACTCAGCGTGTAGTGCAGCAATGCGTCTTGCAGCAAGCCTATATTACCCAATGTGACACACGGAAGTTACACAAGCTGGGTGGTTAGCGAACACGGAATTCATCACAAGCATGTAAGTGTTCAACTCTTTACTCGTGTCATGTTATTGAAATACCTGGTTTGACATATACATTAGTGAAAACACCCAGTGGTACAGGAGAAAACGTCCGATTACACAACCTAGGGGTGAGTACAGCTAACAGAACAGCCAGGCGAGGGGCTAGAGGTGCTAATTAGTGGCTTGTAACAACAGGGGGTTAGGGGAATGGTGCCGGCTGACCCTACCTTGTCAGGGCCTGCTGTAGACAGACAACACAGGGAGGAGACGGGTACACGGGTACATGGCTGATCATGTATTCTCCGTGACTGTTTAATTGGAGTATGCCACTTCTCTATAGTCAGGGAATTTGAGGGAAACACTCATTAAATATTTCAATTCAAATAATGTTTTCTATGATCGTGATTGAAATGACTGATAGGGAGATAAAGGTGTCCAGCAATCTAAATAGAATTCCTTTCCCAAGACATTGTAAGGAGACAGTTTGAGGCATATGAATCAGTAAGAGTGAGTTGAATTTGATATGTTTGACGCCGGTTTAAAAAATGAATGAATGAACCTGCGTTATCACTAATCACCAAATAAATGAATTAATGATTGAATGAATGAAAAATAAATAATTAAATGAATAAAGCAACAAATGAATGAATGAATAAATAAATACATGAATTAATAATTGAATGAATGAAAAAAAAATTAGTGAATAGAAACACAAATGAATGAATGAATGAATGAATAAATAAATAAATAAATAAAACATAAATAGATAAATATTAAATAAATAAATAAATAAATAGGTTAACCTGGTATATCACTGATCACCGGGCAACAGTTTACCTAGCTTATCTCACAACTGCTATCGATTTTCTACTTCATTGCAAGTAGAATCACATGCTATAGATAGAAACACACTATGACGATTGAGACTTGTAGACGTTGCAGCCCTTGTAGGAATGACTGATATCTTACACTAAGCAGGATCTATCTTGGATCACGATATCACGACACACTCAGATAAATCATTCAGCTGGATTTTATACAGTTAAGCTAATGCTATAGTGAGTTGGTGTATTTCACAAACTGTTACTGCACTTATATATTTTGATGTGTAAATGATATTATATGTATGTAGTGCATGAAATGTAGCATTTTTTTCACTTGATCACAATAGTTTGGTTTCTGTTGTCGCAAGTAAAAATAATAAATGAAATAATTTTTTTTTTTTGAAAAGATAAGAAGAAATATCTGTATGTCGATTAGGAAAACATTATGTTTTAGGATGAGTCCAGTTTGCTTTGGTCTTCGTGTGGCATAGACGGAAAGAGAATGTCAATGCCAATGGCGATGGTTTTGGATGTAGCTGAGTAAAAGTGTAGAGTTGGATACCTGTAGTATTCTCTATATATATTACCCACGTGGTCAACGTATGGGTAGTTGCATACATAGAGAATACTACACGAGGTCTCATTACATACGAATTATACGAAACGAGTGTCCTTCCTATGGTATCTGACCGAGCGTCTTACATGCATTAAATTGACAAAATAGCGTATTTTTGTTAATATTTTGGTTTCAAACGGAAACCGGTTTCATAAAGAGGTTGCGGAAGAGTTTTGTACTGTAGTACAATATTTGCATGACGTCACACCAAAATGACGTCACTGCCTTGGTAACCGACGTCACGATGCATGTCAGATGCATTCATAACAAACACGTGAATTCATTCATTCTACAACTTAGATGCATTGTTGGAATGTAAACATTGCGAACGTTGCCGTGTCGCTGTTTAATTCGAACTGAGACATTATGTCCGTCGAAAAAACATAAACGCAATGTTTCCACCAGTGATGTTAGCTGTGAAGCAGCTGCAAACCAAGAAACGGGGTGCTACGGAGTAGTTTACTGTAGGAGGCTGTACGAGGCGATGCCAACTGACATGCATCGTGACGTCGGTTGCCAAGGGGGCAGACGAGAATGGCGTAGTGACGTCAATACAGTGTGACGTCATGCAAAAGTGTACTTCAGAACAAAATTGTTCCGCAACCTCTTTATGAAACCGGTTTCGGTTTGTAAGACGTGGGTAATAAATAAAATACCACACTCGGTCTCATTACATACGAATCATACGAAACTCGTGACCTTCCTGTGGTTTCTGACCTCGCTTTCGCTCGGTCAGATACCATAGGAAGGACACTCGTTTTCGTATAATTCGTATGTAATGAGACCTCGTGTAGTATTCTCTATATATGACACTGGTTATGTTTCACCATATGTATAATAAACAACCTTGTCACAACATTGTAGGAAGGTAAAGATTGGTAACGTCACGTCACGACGTTTTGACGACATAAATGGGAGTCCATAGAATAACGTTGTACGGACGTAATATCATAACGTTTCAACAACGATAGCATAACGCTGGGACAACGTTGTGACAGCGTGTAATTGTTGCTGGGTACTACCGTGACAGCGTCCTGGAAACACACGTGGTGGTATTTGGGCGCCGACTTGGAGGTCGTGTTGAGTTTCAAGAACACATAGAGCTCGTACTGTTACAGTGTACCTCCAGCAGGAGAACATAACGGAACGGCTGCTGGAACGGCGCATACGTCACCGTCAGCAACCACAGACCATTATTAAAGAACTTGGCGCTGCACTACAGGAAGAATGGGACGGAAAGATCCAAGTTGACATTGGACTTTTGATCAGGAGTATGTCGGACCCGGGATTGTATTGAGAATAGAGGCGTATTCACGCGATATTGATGAGTTTGACTTTTCAGTGTAAATGACTTGATGGACAGAATGGCGCTTTGGCCGAACATCTAACCAAGTCAGTGGTCGTTGGACGACTAATGCAAATATCAGTTACACTGTTAATATATTTACCTAAAAAAAGTTATAAAGTATTATAGTTGTGACACTTTTTTATTGAATTCCCCTTCATTTTCCTAATAAGACCCAATAATATATAGTTACAGCGTGCAGATGTATATACTATGATTTACGTTTTTCCTTTCAGTCGATGTTTTGCTAAATAAAGATGTGTCGCCTAACACTGTGGGCTGTTCTGGTGTGGACTGTCTTCAAAGGTAAGCTGACTTACTGTATTGAGTACATTTGTAAACATGAACAACCACTGTTCTGTTATAAGGGAAATAGCTGCCATAGTAACGGTGCTTTATGTGGCGTGTCTACTGTCCACTCTTTCAAGCACATGCACAAAGAAACCTAGCACGCTTGACCACTAAGTTGCCAAGTTCGGGCAGCGGTTGCTGATCTAGGAATCTCATAATGGTTATGTCAGTCTGCAGGGTCATATCGGCGATGGTTACACGCTGGTGTCGTCCTAATGTTTCTGCATGTTTCCCATTGATGCTGCATGTTCAGACGTGGTTGTATTCAAACTTCATATCACATGTTAACGTTGTGCTCCTATTAAGGAACTGAGTGAGTATGGGTTTACGATGCCTTTAGCAATATTTAGCAATATCACGGCCTGGGACACCAGAAATAGGCTTCACACGTTTCACCGATATGGGGATTCGAATTCGGATCTTCAGTGCGACGAGTGGACGCTTTAGCCACTAACCGCCATATAGCTGGAATATTGCTGAGTGCGGCGTAAAACTAAACTTTAACCCACTAGACTACCCCACCTCCCCTATTAAAGCCAGTTGTGTTGATTGTATTGTCGCCAATGTTGCAGCTGTGTGTGCCGATGACGTCCCCTGTCCTGGCGGTGTGGCTGAACTCAACACAGAGTACAGTCTAACCAGCGACAGAAGGAACTACACAGGTTGGGCCTGGGTACAACCAGGTGACGAGCGGCATGTTGCAACGTGCAACCAGTCGTGTAGCGCTGAAGCAGGATACAGTGCCACTATGAACGCTACACACACCACATTGACAATAGACAGTGTTGGGAGGAACCAGTCTGGTACCTGGACGATCCTGGATACTGGAAGTAACTCATCTGTGGCCTCAGAAGTGTGTCACCTTGTTACTGCAGGTATGTAATCTAACCTAAACACCTGGAATGATTACTTTAACATTCCTAGTGTTCCACATAAGTAGATAGTTATAACAATATAATAATATTGCGCTACTACTCCACGGTCATTGCATGCTCGAAGCGCACATTGAAAGCTCTTTTAAACAGATGGGTCTTAAGAAAGTTTCTGAACGATTTGAATGTGGGAGCAAGTCTTATTTCGATAGGAAGTTGATTCCATTCTGTCGCTGCCGAGTAAGAGAAAGAGCGATGCCCAGAGCTTGTAGTCTTAGTTTTCAGGACACAGAGGAGATGTTGTGCTTGGGTTCTGAGAGTTCTCTGTGGTCTGTAAGGCTGCAGTACCTCATACATGTACTCTGGTGCGTCACTAGCAATGCATTTGTACACAAGGCACAAGAATTGGTAGGAAACGCGTTCTTTCAATGGAAGCCAATAAAGACTTTAGAGAATGGGAGTTAAATGGTCATGTTAAGGTAGTTGTGCTATAGCTTGTCAAAAGGAACATATGCATACAGTGACATTAAATTCAAATACGGATCCCATTTCAGTATTATTTGGCTGCTGGACTATGATAATTGATACTGGTCCATACTTGTAGAAATGTTGTGTTATAACTTTGAAATATCAGAAGAACATATACTCCGAAATCAAATTTAAATAAGGTACCAGGTTCAGTATTATTTTGCCGCTGGACTATTAAAATTTGAGTAAACATAACTACATGTCCCGAAGTAATTATATCTTAACTCATTGTCACAACCATGGGAGTAAACCTTCTGTGAAGTGTTCACTTTTCAGTGTTTGAGTGGACAATACTATAGTCCGTTTGGCTCAAAATCGGACCCAAGAATTGCAATCGAACTCGATAACTACTAAACATATACTAGTAACTCAATGAAGCACTGATCATAATCAAAACATCAGACCAACTCTGTGATTTTGTTTTGCAGAATTTATGTCCTAAAATTATATAAGTTGTTTAACAAACTATCATTAAAATTTTGACACAGTTCACTATTTGTTACGAGGGAGGGGGTGCAAAGAGAGGAACAGCCAGGTGTGCAAGCAAGGATGGGGACGGCACAGTACAGGTTAATGAATCAATGACTTTGTCGGCACTTGTGCACGTGCTTCGCGTACACCTGGCTGTGTACGGACAAGGTTTTAGTGGAGATGGTGAAAGCTTCCAAAGACCTTATATTGCCATTTTTGCATAAATGTTTTAACTATGGTTTAATACTACAACCTGGGCGCAGTCTATCATAGTACCTCTACATAAGAAGGGTGACATCAATAACCCTGACAATTTCAGAAGCATATCTCTGACGAGTAGTATTGGTAAATTGTTTACATCTATCCTCAACAAAAGATTAAACATGTGGGCTAATATTAGAGATAAAATTCCTGAAACTAAAGCTTTTGTTTTAGTTTTACATTGTATGCAGTTGTGCAAAAATACTTAATAATAAGAAACTTATAAATTATATGTAGCATTTCTTGATTTTAGGAAAGCCTTCGACTCAGTAAATCCACAGAAATTATGGTCTTGTTTAAGACGGACGGGACAAGATGAGAAAGTGGTATCTATGTAACAAGGCTTGTGTGCGCAGCAGTGGGGGATTCACTGACTATTTTGAGTGCCCATTGGGTGTGAAGCAAGGGTGTTTGTTGAGTCCTATTACTTTTACCGTCTTCATTAGCAAATTAGCAAATTATTTAATTCATAAAGGCAAACATGGTTTACAACTATATCTTGATATTTTGGAGATTTTAATGCTACTGTTTGCTGACGACGTGATATTAGTATCGGGCTTAGTGGTAGGTTTACAGAACCAATTAGACATTTTGGAGAACTACTCGAAAGAATGGAAATTAGATGTTAAGTCAAATATTGTTGTATTTAGAAGGGGTAGACAACTCGCTTATGAGTGAGTGAGTTTAGTTTTACGCCGCACTCGGCAATATTCCAGCCATATGGTGGCGGTCTTTAAATAATCGAGTCTGGACCAGACAATCCAGTGATCAACAGCATGAGCATCGATCTGCGCAATTGGGAACCGATGACAAGTGTCAACCAAGCCAGCGAGTCTGACCGCCCGATCCCGTTAGTCGCCTCTTACGCATACGTATTCTAAAACAGATAGTATGGATATAATGACAGGGACAGCTCCAACTTGAGTTGCATCCAAGAGTCCCCCCCCCACCAACATCGTCCTTCGTCAGACTGGCTATAGTGAGTGTCGAGTGTGTAGCATTGATGGTAGCGCTGTATCCGGCGATGAGGCTACAGCCTGGGTTGCAGGTGACGACGTAGCGCTCATCACTGAATTACTGAAGGCTCATTCTAATCCGGACCTTCACGGGTCAACTCGCTAATGGCGAGACATGGTTTTATAATGGCATTTCAATGCAAATAGTTTCTGCATACAAATATCTTGGAGTACGTTTTAATTATACGTTGAATATGGGTAAAGCTGCTGTTGCCTTATCAGCAAAAGCAAAAAAAAAAAGCTCTGGTGTATTTACTTTCATCACTCTGTCCATTAGCGCCAATAACACCAAAGATGTTTTTAAACGTTTCGATGCACATATTCAACCAATGCTTTGTACGGGGCAGAACTATGGGCTGTTTGAACCGATTGAAAATATGCATCTATTGGCATGTAAGAAGTTCCTTAATGTTAACATTACATATGGTATATGGTGAAAGTGGAATATACCCACTTTATATAAACTCTCACCTTCGTTGCATAAAATATTGGTTCAAAATACCGAGAATGCATGAACAGTGTCAACCCAAAACAAAGTCTTATAACATGCTGCTTAATTTAGATACTCTTGGTTATGTAACACGGGCATCAAATATAAGATATCTGTTCTTTACGTATGGATTTGGATATGTGTGGATTTTCCAAGGTGTTGGTAGCGAGTGGCTGTTTGTTAACGAATTTCGTCAAAGAGACGTTGATATGTTTCGTCAGAATTGGATGAATACCCTTAGTTTAATTTCTAGATTTGATGTATATAGATCCTTTAAAACAACGATCGAACCTGAGAGATATCTATCAAACATTACAAGCAAGTAACTTTATTAGATTAGTTATTAGATTTAGACTTGATTTGACAGATATAATGATCAATACTGGCCGTATACAGTCACTGGCCAAACATCTCAGATTTTGCCCTGTCTGTATGGCGGATATCGAGGACGAATATCATCTGTTATTTATGTGTGACGCTTATGCCGATATAAGAAAGGAGTACATTCCACAGACATATTTGGGTCACCCTACAAGGGAAACACTTATAAGAATTTTATCATCAGAAGACGAATCTGTCCATTTAAAATTAGACCTGTCTTTAACACATTCGCTGTCGTTAATGTAGCCGGAGCCTTATGTACAATAAACCATCTTGATCTTGATCTTGACCCACCTGACATAATATTCACTAAACGTGGGACATTATAACACCTCGAATATATACGGATACTACAAATACTGATTTGATAATTATATACATATTTTACTTATCTGCGCCATCAGTGTTTAGGATACAAAACAATCATCAACTCTGTGCAGATGAATACACAATGCCATTTAGAAAATGGTCAAATGCAACATGTTATATTTGGGATTACACTCTCTTAGTAACGGTTTGGGTTCGAATCCCGCATGGGACTCAACCCAGCAAATGTACTAGAATCTGCACTTTACTGAGAAAGTGTAATCCCACGTATAGCATGTGTAAACTCTGTACAGGGTTGTCTCCCTTGCAAACCCCAAAATGGTGGGTTCGAATCCCTGTTCGACCCGAATACGTTTCTATGTTTGTGAGCACTAGACCCGGTCCCAGGGGTTTCAATAAAGGGTCAGGAGCGGGATTTCCTTCCACATTAAACCGACAGATATAACGGCGTTGAACTCACTCACTAACACACTCAATCACCCACCCACCCGCTCACTCACTCACTCCCTCGCTCGCCTACCCGCCCGCCCACAAAACCCCACCCACTTACTTACTCACTCACTCACTCACCCCTGTCCCATCTGACGGTCTGCATATTTCACTCACTCTCACTCACTCACTCACTCACCTCGCTCGCTCGCTCGCCTACACGCCCGCCCACAAAACCCACCCACTTACTCACTCACTCTCTCCTGTCCCATCTGACAGTCTTCATATTTCACTCACTCACTCACTCACTCCTGTCCCATCTGACAGTCTGCATATTTCGGTCTTCAACCAGAGCTCCCACAATGCAACATCAGCAGTGATGCAGACACTGATGCCCTTGAACTTGGCAGAAAGGTCACACTCTCAGTGGAGACCAGAGGCTACTTCTGTTCTGGAGGCGCCGGTCTGGACCTTACAACTGGAAACATCACAGAGGTGCTGCTACAGAATCTAACAGGCAACCTCACAGACGCCGTCGCGAACACAACCTTCAACATATCATCTGACCGACTGGGAGAGGTCAAGGTCACGTATCAGTGTGACAGAAGGACATGGATGCTGGGTTGTGGCGGAGTTCAGAGGTTAAAGGGTATGAAGCCTTGATGACTTGGATATACTGTAATAAATGTATGGAACACTTGGAAATAACTTCAAACTTTATTTATGGTCTAGTGTGTATGCAAAGTAACTGGATATAATTATATTTAGATTTGCTTTGAAAGAGTTGTATAATTACTATTGGAGAACCTTACCACCATTATGGGTACAACGTGTGAAGCCTATTTATAGTGTCACGTGATATTGCTGAAATCTATTTGAAAGCAGCGTAAAACTAAACTCACTCACTCACTCACTCCATACATTTTAACCAACTTGAGACGGAGGTGTCCTACTGACTGGCTTTGGACTGTTGTCAAGTGACGTATGAGCTGATCGAGGCAGAACCACTCGACTTGGGGCTTGTCTTCGGCATTTACAACATGTTTTGATACCCAGCACCGTGTGACGTCCACGTCAGCGACTCATATATTACACTGCATGTACATGTTTGTTTAGGCTGACTGCATAACTTCTATTCCAGCTGCGACCTCTTCAACAGTCGGCACGTCAACAGGTATGTCAGTGGGTGTGGCACATTTAGATCTGCAAAGGAAAACGAATAGGGAAGACTGTGACTGGGTTGCTTGTTTATCAGTATTCATCGTATAATGTTACAGTTTGGCCAGTTGTATGTATAACATAGCCGTTACACAGTCCCTGAACCACACCAGTTACCCTTCCGCCCAGACCTTTCTGCAATGCTAAAGCCCTAATTGAAGTAAGTCTAGATTTCAACAGGTCTGAATCTCCCATCTCACTTGGACTCCTTTTCAATTTAAAAGGAATTTTCGTTTTTGTCAGAATTAAATGTATTCGGAGACTACACGTTGATCTTTTAGAGAGAAGCTTGTAGAACCTGACTCCCCGACCTGTCCGGCTGAAAACATTGCCACGCTGACTACAAGAATGTTTGGTGAGGTGAGGTGAAACTGGGTTTAACGTCGTGCTTGAGAATATTTCGCTCATATGACGACGTGCATGCGTGTGTATGTGTGGCTGCTTGTACTAGCCCAGACTGAAGCTGGTTTTATAGTGATAGCCCACTGAGATACCATGCCGCAGTGAAGCATGAATACCCCACTCAGACACATTATACTGACTCCAAGCCGACCAGTCCTTGTTGTACCCATTAATGCCGAGCGCCAGGCAGGGACCAACAAGTACCATATTTTAACTTCTTTTGGTATGACGCGGTCGGGGATCGAACTCGCGATCTTCCGCTCTCCAGGCGGACGCTCTAACCACTACACCACGGAGGCGGTCACAAGAATATTTGTCTCATGCCACTTTTGGCATGTTCACGCTGTTCGTTCGTAATAACTAATACGGTTACATGAAGTATATCAATAGCCCAATTTATAATATATTTTTTCACATTCTGTTTACCTGTGCTCGTTTTGAACTTGGAATGTTTTTGTCCGAGATAGGTTACACGGGTTCTTAATTAGACATTAATTAGGCGGTGTTAAAAATAACCACATTAAGCGCGAGGAGGTCAAAAGAGAAGCTATGGTGGCGGAGTTGATCTGAGAGTCCGTGGCTCATCATAAGACACAGTAGAAGAGATAAGGCTTTCTGTTATGTGTATCATATAAAACGTCAATGCCAGAGAATAACCAGTCTCGACTATTCGACGGGGGAGAATCAGAGGCTGAGACACACTACAGGCAAGGCTTTCTTATATGTGTATCATAAAATGCCAGAGAATAACCAGTCTCGACTATTCGACGGGAGAGAATCAGAGGCTGAGACACACTAGAGGCAAGGCTTTCTTATATGTGTATCATAAAATGCCAGAGAATAACCAGTCTCGACTATTCGACGGGGGAGAATCAGAGGCTGAGACACACTAGAGGCAAGGCTTTCTTATATGTGTATCATAAAATGCCAGAAAATAACTAGTCTCGACTATTCGACGGGGGAGAATCAGAGGCGGAGAGACACTAGAGGCAAGGCTTTCTTATATGTGTATCATAAAATGTCAGACAATAACCAGTCTCGACTATTCAACGGGGGAGAATCAGAGGCTAAGACACACTAGAGGCAAGGCTTTCTGATATGTGTATCATAAAATGCCAGAAAATAACCAGTCTCGACTATTCGAAGAAACAGGATGCACTGGGCGTAGAAGACAAAGCGGCTAAGAAAATAATACGAATGAAACTTAAACATTTTCCTGAAACACGTGAACCGTAGAAATGTTATTAGGGTTACACAATGCTTAATGATGTCTCTGTGAGACTTTGATTTTGGTGTGAGTATGAAAGGTCCATGATGTGTCTGTCGCTCTCTGTGATCAAGTCGGTATTGCTCTCTAATAAAGACATCTTCTTTCGATACACACTTGCACTAAAAGAGTTATAAAACACGTTTTCTATATGCGTTATGCACCGTATTTGTTAAAAATAGAGTTCTACTGGACACATTATTTGTGTAAGATGTGTTTTTCACAAGGAAATTTAGGCGTGTGGATGGGATGGTTACAATGCAGGATCTCGGTGATCTCATCGTTGCTCAAGGACCTGTTACTCAGACAAACACAAGTACAGAAGTGTTTAGACCAAAGATAGAGTGGTGAAATATAGTTCTGACAATATTTACCTAGTTGACAGCGCAAATCGCGTCCAATCGCTGTCGCAGGGTCATATATAACCCAATATCTTATACAGCCACATCGCCATACGGTCATTTTTCACATTACCGCAACTATACAGGTAAACGGAACTTAATACCACAGCAGTCCACCAGTCTCTTGGCCCTAGAGGCCATCTTTTCTTGTGGTCATCCTCATCACTGAAGCTTGTTTTCATTGTTGCATTTTTATTTTCCCTTAGATGCTTCTACAACAACGGCAGAAACACCCACGTCGACAGGTATGTGAATATATTATCACGTGTGCTACATACCTACATGGTGTATACTGACTGACTGACTGACTGTCTGAGTTTGGATTTACGCCGCTTTTAGCAATATTCCAGCAACATCACGGCGGGGGACACCAGTAATGGGATTCACACATTGTACCCATGTGGGGATTCGAACCCGGGTCTTCGGCGTGATGAGCGAACGCTTTAACCACTAGGCTACCCCACTGCCCCTACATGGTGTATACAGTGTATGTACATGTACCGCTGCAGCTAACCCATAACATGTGAGAATGCCCATCGTTATCGAAACAGCTAACTAGACGTCAAGCAGGATAATGTGCTACACAACATAACCTAAACAGTGAACGGTATACAGAGTATTACACCTGTTAAATGCATGGGGAATGAATTTCTGCTAATATGTTTTATAAAATGAGTGGACCTGTCTAGGTTTACAGTAAGCCATGGATGTTGTAAGAGTCGACTAATTGGATCAGACTCGCTGACTTGGTCCACACACGACACACATCGTATCCCAATTTCGGAGATCGATACTCATGATGATGATCACTGGATTGTCTGGTCCAGACTCGATTAGTTACAGACCGCCGCCAGATAGCTGGAATATTGCTGAGTGCGGCGTTAAACAACAAACAAACACAATTAACATAAAATGAGTGGCTTAACATATTATGAACCATCATTTGATATATTCCATATAATGAAGGCACACCTCTCACGGATGGTACATGTACGGGAGGAATGAGTCTACTGGGCGAGGTGTACCACATTGTGAACGGCAGAAGCAACTACACCGGGTTCGCATGGGTCCGACCTGATGACCGCTACGTCGTCACCTGCAACCCCAGCTGCAGCCCCGTGGCGGGATATAGAGCTACCATCAACGTCACACACTCCACACTCACTATTGCTGGTATTGGGATCATCGATGTTGGGACATGGAAGATCGTGGATGCCACTGTTGTGGGTGCCGTCCCTGTCGACGTGTGTCAACTGACGGCAGCAGGTGAGCAGTCGTATACTCCCACATCCTTAATGGGATGACTCCTATTACCTTTCCAAAATAATAAGTTGATGCGGATACCGGATCGGTCGAGATACTGGAAGATTAGGTAACGTTATATGGAACATAATAACACGACATTGTCACGTCACACATTAACGAATGACCCGTGAAGATCCGGGTTAGAATCAACCTTCAGTAACCCATGCTTGTCGTAAGGGGCGACTAACGGGATCGGGTGGTCAGGCTCGCTGGCTTGGTTGACACATGTCATCGGTTCCCATTTGCGCAGATCGATGCTCATGCTGTTGATCACTAGATTGTCTGGTCCAGACTACTCATATAGCTGGAATATTGCTGAGTGCGGCATAAACAAAACTCACTCATTAACGAATGTGTGACTTCGAATTCGTTCATAATCAGTCACAGAAATCGCACAATTTGCAGAAAAGTAAACGTCTTTTTCTTGATGCTGCTCAGCAGTATTCGACAACGGCGGCATGTAATACAACCAGAAGATAGTGCCCCGCTATAGCGCATTTACTGATTTTAATGTTTTTTGTTTCATTCTTAAATCCACTTTATACTGCAACTTATAAGAAAACAGGTATTTTTTTGTTTTCTTGACAAGCTGTCTTTATATATGCATAAATATCTCCTCCCTTCCCGATGTTATCCTCCACCAGGACGTCCACGGTGCAGCATCAGCAGTGAGGAGGACACCGACTCCCTGGAACCTGGAACCCAGCTGACACTGACAGTGGACATCACAGACTACTACTGTTCTGTGGAGACTGGCTTTGATCTCACTACTGGTGCAGTGACTGACGAGTTAGTGAAGACTCACAACGTCAGTGCTGTATCATCCCAGACCGTCAACAAAACATTCAACATTGACGTCAGAAGACTAGGAGACGTGAAGCTGAACTTCCAGTGTGACAGAAGTCGGACTCTTACTTGTACTGGTGTCCAGAGGCTCATGAAAAGTGAGTTACCTCCATGCACACTGAACTGTCACGATCACTTTAATCTCAAGTACTCTTCAGGTAAACCACCCCTACCACCACCCTCACCTCACCCCCCGCATTATGCAGTTTGGATACTTACACGTGTATTTTCTTTATTGTGGATGGTCATATGTTTTCATCATCATATGTGTACATGTTTACAACCATATCCCCACAGTGCAACACTAGCACCGGCTGTCATGTCTAACTTGTTTTGACAGGTTCCCCCACAGCAGCACCGGGTGTCACATCTCAATTTACAACCGGGTCCCCACAGTGCAACACTAGCACCGGGTGTCATATCTCACTTGTTTACAACCAGATCCCACAGTGCAACATCCGCACCGGGTGTCATATATATCTTGTTTACAACCAGGTCCCCCCAGTGCAACATCAGCACCGGGCGTCATGTCTTACTTGTTTACAACCAGGTCCTCAGTGCAACATCAGCACCGGGTGTCATGTGTCACTTGTTTACAACCAGGTCCCCCAAAGTGCAACATCAGCACCGGGTGTCATGTGTCACTTGTTTACAACCAGGTCCCCACAGTGCAACATCAGCACCGGGTGTCATATCTCACTTGTTTACAACCAGGTCCCCCGCAGTGCAACATCAGCAGTGATGTTAACACCAACGCCCTGCAGCTGGGTTCGAACCTCACCCTGACCCTGGGCCTCAGAAACTACTACTGCCACCGACACTCTGGGTCTGACATCACCACTGGCAGCATCACCGACGTGCTGATGCAGAACCAGACAACCAGCAACATCACCGACACTGACCTAGCCACCTCGTTTGTGGTCACATCGGATCACCTTGGCAACGTCAGCGTCACGTTCACGTGCGACACAACGACCAAAACACTCGAGTGTGGAGGGGTTGACCGCTTGACGGGTAGGTCTGTTTCTCAGTGTCTCTCACACGGTTGTGTCTCTCACACGGATGTTTCTCTCACACGGATGTGTGTAGCACTATTGAATACAGACACTTGGTTTTGCAAATTCGTTTTAAATATCACCATGTCAAGGCCAGAGGATAACCAGTCTCGATTATCCGACGGGACAGATTATACTTGGTGTAAGATGCATTATAACAGTGAAAACTGTATGAATAGATCACTGGCAACACCGGGTGTTCGAGAAATAAGGGAAGCATGTCTGGGTCTACTAGAATCACCCTAGTAGACACTTGATGGTGCCACCAATATGTGTTTAATGCACCCATAAATTGAAATGTGGTTACAGTTAGACATAACGGGTCTCCCTTTCCAACGCCAACCAAGCCAAGCTGGAATCAATTTCTGGGGATAGTAAAGGCCAGGGGAAAACCAGTCTAGATTATCAGAAGAAACAGATCGTAACTTGGTGTAAGATGCAAAATAACAGTAAAAACTGTATGAACAGACTAGCAATTCTCGAAACGTTCGTAGCCCTACGAACTTCTTAAACCCATTCTTAACACATTGGCTACGATCAAAGTTAAGAATTCTTAGGGCAATAACGTTTCGAGAATAAGGGCCCAGGTGACTGAAATCAGTGATAGCACCGTGTGTTTGTGAACAGGGGAAGCGTGTCCGGCTCTATTAGTAGCACCCTAGTAAACACTTGATGGTGCCACCAATATGTGTTTAATGCACCCATACATTAAAATGTCGTTACAATTAGACATAATGGGTCTCCCTTTACAACACCGCCATGCTCATCATGTCTAACACTCCCAACTGGAATCGATTTCTGTGGATAGTCAAAACTGGTTATTCTATGCCTTGATGGTGTATATTTATATCTTCATAGAGGCAGCTCCCACAACCACCGGCTCAACGTCAACATTAACGTCAACACCAACATCATCACCACCGTCAACGTCAACACCTGCATCTACAGGTTGTTTAAAAACATACATGTCTGAATGCAAACGAATAACTAGTCATCAGACAGGTGTAATTTGGCGGAAGGGAAAAAAGCTCTGAAAATGATATACATGGAGTACTGAAAATCAGTGAGGACACCAGGTGTTCGCGAAAAGGAAGTGTGTCCGTCCCTACTTTTAGCATGTAAAAAACAAAGAACTTTAAATATCAGTGTTCTCGAAAATACTGTTTCAAGTTATTATATCTCCTCAAGAAGTCTTATTTATATCATGAGACACGTGGATTATGACATAATATGTCTAAAACTCTGAGAGTATGGGTTCGAATCCCAGATGGGACTCAACCCAACAACCTACTAGAATTTTACTGAGAAAGTGTAATCCCAAATATAACATGTCTTTCATTTGACCACTTTCTGAATGACATTGTGTATTCATATCTAAATTATCATTCAAAAGGTTCGAAAATAGAATCAGTATAAGGATTCCGGAAAAGCAGCCATATAATAGTGTGCGTGTAGTTTTTAGATGTGCGCAAGGAGAGTTCAGTTCATGATGATGTATTGTTTTCAGATATACATCAGTTAAAATATCCAATAAAAAGTCGAAGTATAATTTTATTCTAAAATGTTTCACAAGCCCAACTGAAAGAATGTAACTTAAAACAATTTGAGCTAGCAATTTGGAGGAACTATTTTTCCACAATGCAGCTTGTTATTGCAGGTTTGTCAAAGTGACGTTGCAGCGCTTGTGAAGTCACGTTGAAGGGTTAAACTAAATATTTTTATTTATAATGACATTCATAATAGTATGTACATTCGATATGAACTAAAGGGATCGGATGGACAGACTCGGGTGGTTGACACGTGCATCGTATCCCAATGGCATAGGTAGATGCTCATGATGTTGATCACTGGATTGTCTGGTACAGACCGCCGCCATAAAGCTGGAATATTGCTGAGTGGGGCGGTACACAGCGAATAAAACAGAAAATACATTGTATGCGTTCATGCATAGAGCAGAGGGGGGCGGCGGGGGTAGCCTAGTGGTGAAGGCGTTGACTCGTCACGCCGAAGACCTGGGTTCGATTCCCCACATGGGTACAATGTGTGAAGCCCGTTTCTGGTGTCCATTTTGATGGAATATTGCTAAGAGCGGCGTAAGACCATAAACACGCACGTACTGCTGGAGTCGAGGTACCGTCGTTCATCATGGCTAAGTAGCCCAGCAGGTCTTCCAGACTGAACGTTAGTTGTCGGCAATCTCGCTCGGTTAGGAGATCTGTAATCTCTTTGTCGAGCAGGTTGGTCTATACAGTACACAGGGTCATCTTTAGAAATGGAACTATTATTACAAAGTATCGAGTGAGTAACAATTTACCGTGGCATCAGCCGAATAAGTTTCACATTTATTCCAAACAAGAGCAATTCCTGGTGTCAGACAAATATAGAGACTGAGTAATGCTTTACTTTTCCTTTTAGAAGCAACTTCGACCACAACTCTTCCCACCTCGTCAGAAGAATCGACACTGACGTCAGAAGAGCCGATGACGTCAGAGGATCCGCCAGCGACAGCCAGTTCTCCATTGCCTAAAGATACAGGTCAATCCGAAAAGTTGACTGTCGGTCTGTCGGTCGGTGTGAGTTTGTGTGTCCTGTTGGTTGTCGTCATTGTAGCATTAAAAATCTACAATGAAAGATTTACTAAGGAGAAACGACGCATGCGTGATGAAGTAGGCTTGAAAAGTATGAAAATTATTGCTGAAAATGAACGTTTGTAGAAATGACTGTATAATTAAAGGAAGTCATCGACCGATAGCCATGGGCCGGAGTACGTCAAACAGCACCTGATCTCGAAACGTAACATATCTTTTTTCTGCACACGCCAGTACAGAACAACCAAGTGATACTTAGGATAGAGAGATATAGGTAGCCCATCAAAAGTTTGGACTCACTGAAAACACTCACTATATGTTATGTATATATATATATGTGGTTACATCGAAGATGAATTTCTCCACTAACTTGGGGGAACCAACTGCAAACCTCATGCAGAGGAATTGTGACGAGGATCATGCATCAAATTGCTGAAAAGCACGTGCAAATATCGTGCCTGTAAACGGGTGGGTTTTGGTGTAAACCGTTGTTAAGAATTCGACAATTTTCACTAAGTTTTATCATTTCTTGAACTCATGACAATAATCTTTTCAAAGTTACGAATTTGTTTTACAATACATCAGTTCATGTGTAAACAGTACCTTTAAACAGTATGGAATATTTTGCAAAATCTAGTTTAGAACAGTTGCCTGAAGTAAGTGGCTACATTTACACTAGTGAGTCTAAACTTTTGATAAGTATATGTCAAGAGTGCGATGTAAACGATAAATCGTTCAAAACGAATTCATTGAACCAAATTCACAACAACGTGAGATTACAGAGAGAGTTCAGAATATGAACCTTCATATCCATAACGCAAGGGAATCTGTCACAATCTTCGGTGCAGCTGTTGTACATTGTGCGAGTTTTGTTATAAAAGGAGGAGAATAACTGCATGTTCTCAATCAGCAATTAATAACCCTAGTGTTATATTTGGAAGCTATATATGTATGATCAGTTTTGTTAAAGTATGTATAAAAAAGACCTTTTGTGGCCTGTCTTAGGCAGAATCGTATCTACTATTTTACAGCATTTTACCACGTTCATGTACTTTCATCATCTTTGCCCGTGAGTGTCCTTGTTAAAATACTATATATTTATCGTGAAATCAACAACCACTGATTTATGACAGTAATTCCATGTATATTTGCTGTGGTGACTGTGATATGTCTGCATGTGTCAGTCAAAAGCGGGTGTAAATCAAGGGCGGATACAATTTTTTGAGAGGGGATGGGGGTGCACAGTTCATTTTTACCCGTTTCATTTTTCACCCAACACACGCACGCGCGCGCGCACACACCTGTGTATGTGAATCCTGTAAAGCCACTGAGATACCCGACCTCTGTGGTCACCACAAGAATGTATTTGTTCACCATTGTAACAACCAGTACTGTTGTCTGGAAAGGGGGCGTTGGGGTAGCCTAGTGGTTGGCTCGTCACGCCGAAGACCCGGGTTCGAATCCCCACATGGGTACCATGTGTGAAGCCCATTTCTGGTGTCCCCCGCCGTGATATTGCTGGAATATTGCTAAAAGCGGCGTAGAAGCAAACTCAGTCAGTCAGTTGTCTGGAAAGCAGGATATCGCGTGGCATCAAAGGCGGAACATTAGCCAAGTAACACAAGAGCTGCCCAATTACCATCATCAACAACATCTCAGAGATCTTCTGTAGTCGTCAGTAATACCGGAAGTATAGTCACCACGACCACGCTAATTGTCTGACTGTCACACACAAGTTACCACATGCTGATTGTTAAGTTTGTATGAACCACCACCGATGAGCCTAATTTTTGGTCATGTGTATATTTTGACATCTTCCGCAATCATTGCTGTGTCTCTGATTGCAGCTGTTGCATTTTAACATCTTGTGCTTTGATATATTCTTTTGCAGTTTTTTTGGTTTTCTTTGATATCATGATATTTCGCTTTTACAATAATTTTTGTTTCTAAGAAATTCGATGTTACTTTAAGTATCATCCCTAGTGATGTTTAATCTAAACTGACGAACAAAAGAAAGTACACACCTGGTGCTTTTTGATTACTTTCCAAAGAGCGACGTAATTGTTTTGAAAGGAGTTTTTACAGTGTTATATAAGTCAGAGACTTTCCTAGTATGTTGCCAAGATACCACAGATATCGTGCCCAATTGTTAAGTTACCAGTCAAAATCACTACACTTTTCAAATAATCCCAAAACACCAAGTTTGTACTTTCTTTTGTTCGTCAGTTTACGGGGGCGGTGGGGTAGCCTAGTGGTTAAAGCGTTCGCTCGTCACGCCGACGGCCCGGGTTCGATTCCCCACATGGGTACAATGTGCCCATTTCTGGTGTCCCCCGCCGTGATATTGCTGGAATATTGCTAAAAGCGGCGTAAAACTAAACTCACTCACTCGTCAGTTTACGTGTCTCTGAAATGTGGCTTTCCGAGTGTTCTTATTGGTTTCTACAAGTAAACAGTTTTATATATACTACAATAAAGGTGAGAATAATCAGGAAGCGTCGTCATGTGTTTAAACTGGCGTCCAAAACCACGTTGAGACATTGGATGGAAGGATGGTGATAGTCACATTAGCTACCGAACCTACTGATCTGAACATGCGGTACTCTCTCTCTATAGCTGTCTGTAATAATCAAAGATTCACCACCCGTGAAGATCCGGGTTAGAATTGGTCTTCAGTAGTCCATGCTTGTTGTAAGAGGCGACTAACGGGATCGGGTGGTCAGGCTCGCTGACTTGGTTGACATACGTCATCGGTTCCCAATTGCGCAGATCAATGCTCATGCTGTTGATCACTGGTTAGTCTGGTTAAGACTCGATTATTTACAGACCGCCGCCATATAGCTGGAATATTACTGAGTGCGGCGTAAAACTAAAAGCACTCACTCAGCCTGTATGCAAGACATCCCGTATAACAAACAAGGCTTAGTGTGAAACGCAAAATCAGCATATTTTTTATCATTTGTTTGCGTGTGAATATCAAGGCTAGAATCGGTAAGCAAGAGATTACAAATAGTAATTAGATTTGTTTCCTGAATTACAATCGACCACGTCTTAGATTTGAAGTGAGGTCCTATGTTGTCGGTGTGACATTTGTTGAGGTTGCCCAAAGAATCTCTGAATTCCTTGGTAATTCGTAAAGCATGTCGACCAAAGATTGACCAAACTAATGAAATCAACAATAATATACAGCGTTTAGAAGCACATTTGATACTTCTGAATCTGTATTAACTGATGAACATGGAGACTGTAATGACAACCCATGATTTGAGAGGAGAGGACGGATTATGGCAGCGAGGTGGATGTCAGCTCTACCGGCCTGTTGTACAAGCTGTTGTAGTCCAGGCTCATCCTCTGGTCATCCATGCTGTACCAGGCTCCCACCCGGTATTTCGAGGACTTTGAGTGAACCTATACATGCGTTCCACCTTGAGGTGCTGTGTTGATATGAAATTAGTTCACTCTGTTAATGTGACGGAAAAAGCAGCATCTATCTAATACTGTCAGTTCTCACCACTGCCTGGCCACACAAGGGTCGACCATTGCTAGGGAAGCGCGCGTAAAATATCTGCTGCGTGGTCGGTCTGTGCACTGGCTGCTTTTGGCCTGATCATCCAATGCGAGTGAGTGAGTTTAGTTTTACGCCACATTCAGCAATATTCCAGCTACATGGCGGGAGTCTGTAAATAATCGAGCTTGGACCAGACAATCCTGTGACCAACAGCATGAACATCGATCTACACAACTGGGATACGATGACATGTGTCAACCAAGTCAGCGAGCCTGACCCCCGATCCCGTTTGTCGCCTCTTACGACAAGCATGGGTTACTGAAGGTCAATTCTAAGCCGGATCTTCACGGGTCTGATCATCCAAAGTACTTTCATTGTTCAATGCAATGAAACCACAGATGTGAAAGGTCGAATGCCGACATTCCAAAATGTGACTGGCTACTTACTTTTTAAGTGCATCATTTTCTTTCTATGAATAGTACACAGAGATTTCTTTCTTTACGCCAACACTGATTCAGATGGATGCTGTTTGCACAGGGTGCTACCAGCTGGGGAGGACACACTCACCGTTCCGTGAACGTCAGGTGTGTTGATAAATCTTTATGCAATTGTGACGATACCGGGTTTGCGAAGAGATGAGAGTATCTTGCCAAACGTTCCCCGACCGCGTCATACCAAAAGACGTTAAAATATAGTACTTGTTGCTCCCGGCCTGGCGCTCGGCATAAATGGGTACAGCAAAGACTGGTCGGCTCGGAGTCAATATAATGTGTCTGAGTGGGGTATTCCTGCTTCACTGCGGCATGGTATCTCAGTGGGCTAGCACTATAAAACCAGCTTCAGTCTGGGCTAGTACAAGCAGCCGCACATACATATACACACACATGCACGTCGTCATATGAGCGAAATATTCTCAAGCACGACGTTAAACCCAATTTCACCTCACCTCACCTCATACACGTTAGAAATACAAGCAAGGGTAAGTCAGTTGTTTTCCTGGGAAAACAGATGGTACGAGTCAAACTAACGAATTGTATCACTTTTGTCTCTTAATGTTCAAATTTATAAAAATCTTAAAAAGCACCCAATTACGACCAGGTGATCATGAACAGGTTTTGATGTATAATAATATGCTTATTATGATTTTAGTATGACTGACTGACTGGCTTGGTTTTATGCCGTTTTTAGCAATATTCCAGCAACATCACGGCGGGGGACACTAGAAATGGGCTTCACACATTGTACCCATGTGGGGATTCGAACCCGGGTCTTCGGCGTGACGAGCTAACGCTTTAACCACTAGCCTACCCCACCGCCCCTCATGATTTTAGAAGGTATATAGGCCAGTATTCTCATGCAATTCTTTTGTGTCATAGCGTCGGGTTGTTTCAGCGTGACAGGCCAACTGAATCGGTTATTGGGTATGGGCAGCTGACTGGCCAGCGATATGCTGACGGAATGATTGTCTTTTTAATTTTGTAATTGCACGATGACAAAGCCAGACCAAAATTGTGCCTAGAGTGTCTTATTTAATCTCCTTCGGCCGCTAAGATGTCCAACATAGAGATCCGGGTTAGAGTATTGGTCTTCAGTAAACCATGCTTGTCGTAAGAGGCGACTAACGGGATGGGTGGTCAGGCTCGCAGACTTGGTTGACACATGTCATCGGTTCCCAGTTGCATAGATCGATGCTCATGTTGTTGATCACTGCATTGTCTGGTCGAGACTCGATTATTAACAGACCGCCGCCATATGGCTGGAAAATTGCTGAGTGTGGCGTTAACCTAAACTCTCTCACTCCAACATAGAGCGTCTCCATGATGTTCTCATTCGGAGAGTTTACGCCACAGCACCCGCCAACATGGCACAGTGTAGGGAGCTCTACATCCTGCTGGCAATAGGTTCATCATCAAGCACTCCAGAATGTATCGCCCAACACGTTGGAGACACCAGTTGTTGAGCTGATCTCATCATATATATCATAAACTGTTTTTAAAACTGAAATTGTATTTAAGTCCCAAACATGACCAGACACCGGCCTGGGTCCAAGCGGGCAAAATAAGAAAACAAAAACAGACCATAGTCAATTTTTTGAAAACATAATGAGGCTATTCAGTGAGGTTTAGACACGACGCGGCATGTATAGCTTTTCCTGAATCTTTCCGAGCTATAGTCCGTCTTTCAGAAACTTAGATATGCCACTTCCTGATTGCTAGCCGGGTCCATTCTCTGGGTGATGGCAATAAATGTTCTTCTTAAGTGTATATCCTGCATGCATGACGCAATGATGTGCTGTGATGCGTCATCCGCGCTGTCCCGTCGGAGTCCTCTTCGTGTGGAAAAGTCAGTTTCAAGATGGCGTTCAGCCAGAACCTCCTCCACGGACATCCACGATTCACATCTGCCACGAGCTGACACAATCTGCTCATCAACAAGAAACCCGGAGTTATCGGCACCGACACCCCCTGTCCCTTCCTGGGCGTGGTCGTTGTGTATGAGACACACACTGTCCTCTGCGTCACGCCCTCCCGCCAGCCACCCTACTGTTGGAGGTGTGGGTGGGTGGTGTTTCCGAGTTGCCTCCTTCCGCATTGAGTGGAGAATGATCGCTATTAGGACGAGGATGAGAAGGGAGATAACTCCTGCTGCATATATGACGCCAGAGGACTTACTGGTGGTGATTTGTGTTGGTGGTTCTCCGTAGATGTTGGCCGTCCCGGGATCTGGGTATAAAGGAAAGCGAGGGAAAGAAGGTAGTCATTGTCACTTATTGAAGGCAACAGAGTAAAAGTGCCGTGAATCTCCACATTGTTAGTTTTCCTGAACATAATGATATACATGCTGTTATAACCGACAATATGCATGCTGTTATAACCGACAATATGCATGCTGTTATACTTGACGGTATGCATGCTGTTATAACCGACAATATGCATGCTGTTATACTTGACGGTATGCATGCTGTTATAACCGACAATATGCATGCTGTTATACTTGACGGTATGCATGCTGTTATAACCGACAACATGCATGCTCTTTTACTTGACGATATGCATGCTGTTATAACCGACAATATGAACGCTCCTTTACATGACGATTTGCATGCTGCTATACATGACGATATGCCTGTTGTTAAAACGGACAATATGCATGCTGTTATAACCGACAATATGCACGCTCTTTCACATGACGATATGCATGCTGCTATAACCGACAATATGCACGCTCTTTTACATGACGATATGCATGCTGCTATACATGACGATATGCATGCTGCTATAACGGACAATATGCACGCTGTTCTACATGACAATATGCATGCTGTTCTACTTAACGATGTGTATGCTGTTCTACTTAACGATGTGTATGCTGTTTTACATGACACTATGCATGCTGCTGTACGTGACACTATGCATGCTGTTTTCCATGACAATATGCATGCTGTTTTACATGACAGCATGCATGCTGGTTTACATGACACTATGCATGCTGTTTTCCATGACAATATGCATACTGCTGTACATGACGATATGCTTGCTGCTTGCCATGACAATATGCATGCTGTTTTACATGACAATATGCATGCTGTTTTACATGACAATATGCATGCTGTTTCACGACAATATGCATGATGTTTTACATGACAATCACAGGATTGTCTGGTCCAGAGTTGAATATGTACAGACCGCTGTCATATAACTGGGATATTGCTGAATGCAGTGCTAAGCAAACAAACAACTAGACAAACAAACAAACAAACAGACAGACAAACAGACAGTCAGACAGACAGACAAACAGACTGACTGACAGACAGACAGACAGGCAGACAGACAGACAGACAGACAGACAGACAGACAAACAGACAGACAGACAGACAGACAGACAAACAGACAGGCAGACAGACAGACAAACAGAAAGACAGACAGACAACAGACAAACAAACAAACAAACAGACAGACAGACAGACAACCAGACAGACAACCAGACAGACAGACAGACAGACAGACAGACAAACAAACAGACAGACAGACAGACAGACAGACAGACAGACAAACAAACAGACAAACAGACAGACAGACAGTCACCTTCAGCTAGAGTCTGTACACCATCACACGCTACACGCTGGCTGTCATCACCACACTCAAAGGTTAACCCCACTCTGCCAAAGTGGGCCTCTCTGGTGGACACGTTGAAGGCCGCCACAACCTCGCCACCATCTGACGAGTCTATTGTTTTACTGATGTTTCCGATCGTCAAGTGAAACCGAACCTCCTTTGAACAGTAGTACCCTGTAATGTTCACGGTGAGTGACAGGTCGTCGCCGACACTCAAAGTGCTGACGTTGTTTGCTGTCACGGTGCATGACGGTACCTCTGAAAGAAAGGTGAAGGTCGTTGTAACATATACTATTTCTGTGATTAAATCTCAAATAAAAGTAGCTGACTGTGAAATATAGATGCCAATACCAAGTTTTGTTTCAACGGTAAATGTTGACGACAAACACACAACGAAGAACGTTCATGCTTGGTGAGCCAGATCACGTTAATGATTTACACTTTAGTAGGGTCGATTCATTTCGTTTGTTTGTTTGAATATGTACAATTCTAACCCGGATGATCACGGGAGGCTTCATGGAAGCCTTGTGATGTAAGTCTGTCTGGATACTGTGCATTTCTTGGCTACAAACATTATAGTCGTAAGTCGGGATTCCTTTTCCGAATATCAAATCTCAGCTGGACAAAATGCCCCAAAACACACACCAACACCCATCCACACGCACGCACGCACGCACGCACACATCATCAAATGGTGCTATGCGTGTCTGACATGAACCTATTCACGTTAAAAATAAATTAAACTGTGCTTGCCGGCCCGCTTTAACCTTTCCATCACTAGAACAACAAATGGAAAGACTCGCTAAAACAAGGGAGTAGTGGGTACGAGTTAGCCATTTCAATTTGTCGGGAAACTGATTGGTTGTACTTCCCTGTCTGAGGAGGTGATATATTCGGTGATTCCCCACCTGCAACAGTGATACTGCATGTCCGCACCTCGCTACCAGTGCTGCATGTCCACTCGCCTGCATGAATGTGGGAGGTATTGGTGATGGTGACCTCACTGGATGTAGAGTTGACCACTGAAGCTCGGTAGGTACCATGTGGTATACACTTGTATCGCTCCATGCTGCACGCGGCTGCAGTTGTCTTCATAGGTGTCTTAAAGTAGACAGGTGAATTACCTGAGCACACCAGGTGTGCGGAGCTCCACAGGTAAACGATATCTGGACAGACAAGGTCAAGCCCAGACGCCTCTGTGAGGGAGAAGGGGGAATATGTACCGATAATGTTCATTTCGCCTAAAATAAAACAATAACAGCTGCACATTTTTAAAAAAGATTTCAGGGTGACTTCCTGTTCAGAACATACTGTAACGCTTGCGTCAGTCAGCATGAGCGGTGGTGAGCTAGCCCAGTGGTTAAAGCGCTCGCTTGTCACGCCGAATACCTGGGTTCGATTCCCCACTATGTGAAGCCCGTTTGCTTAAGTGATATTGCTGGAATATTGCTAAAACTTCACTCACTTTCATGAGTATAAAATACACGATAAAAGACCATAAAGAAATAAACATTGCTCAAATATGGTTTGATATAGCTCTCACTGAAAAGTGTATTGACTGACGAGAATGAAACCCATGCAGTGGTTTGATATAGCTCTCACTGAAAAGTTTATTTTGCACTGACGAGAATGAAACCCATGCAGAAGGAGCCTGAATGAAGGATTCTGATGGGTCGTGGTCGTTATTACATACAACACAAGCAGGATGATACAGTATGGTATAACCTACGGAATGTTATTGTCATGGTGAAGATCAATACCGTCATAGTGTACACACACGGGCCATGTGTACATAGCCTGTAGGTCCGGGACACGGCCATCTGGCAACAAATAGAGTAAGTCTTGCGTATTATGTGTAGGATGAAAAAACAATATACATCATGTCATATCATATCTATCTATCTATCTATCTATCCAGCTATCTATCTGTCTGTCTATCTATCTGTCTGTCTGTGTATATATCAATCTATCTATCTGTCTGTTTGTGTATCTATCTATCTGTCTGTTTGTGTATCTATCTATCTATCTGTCTGTCTATCTATCAGGTATCTATCTATCTATCTGTCTGCCTATCTATCTATCTACCCAGCTATCTATCTATCTGTCTATATATAACCTATATCAATAGCTTATCTAAAATTTTAAACAACGCTGTTGATGGGTCTGTATTTGTAGATGATTTTAGTGTTTCATGTCGAGGTAAACTATGCATACGACTGAACGATAGTTGCAGCTTTGTCTGAATAGAATTCATGATTGATCAAAACGTAATGACTTTAAATTTTCTAAATGTAAAACAAATTAGACAATATTACCCACACAGCGATACACACCCACTTCTAGCAGGCACTCCCGTTAAAGTAATCAAGGAATCATCTTTGATCAACCTTTTTGACAGACAGACAGACAGACAGTTATTTCAGTATGAGGCCATTGGCAAATAATACATTTATACACATGAAACAGACATACAGCATGGTTTAACCCAGATGTTGCTGTAATAAGGCGTGTAACTTTAGAAGAAAATATCACAAATTCTTCAAAGTAGATTTTCCATGTGATTGTAGCAGAGCTTTTAGTATGTTCATAGTTGGATGTTTTAAATAGGTTGGTTTTAGATATGTCTTCCTCAGATGCCTGTATGATGCCCCTGCCATTGAATCCCAAACATTACCAAATACATTACCAGATAACGCTTCCATTTTTAGGCCGTTTTACTGCCCCAGCATATATCAAACAGTCTAAACATAAGGCATTCATTATTTTTTCGGACTCGCTGTCCTGTCTTCAAGCAATTAAAAAGAAATCGTGTCAGCATCCTACCATCCTATTTAAATTGACATAATTGAATTAAATTACATAATGATCTTGATACTGGCCGATATGACATGGTCTTTTGTTGATTGCTCAGCCATGTTGGAACCACTCATAACACTATGGCTGCTGCTGCAAAAGCAGCTCTCAACAAATCTGTGACACCACTTTATATCCCATGCACTGATTATAAACCTGTTATTAGATGTTACTTCCACGATCCAATGCAAAAGAAGTGGGGCATCCAAGTAGGTATAAATACGTTACACGCTATTCAACCAACAATACACGTACTTGGTGTGTCAGTCCAGACGTGAAGAAATCATTCTAAGACGATGCCGTATTGGCCACACTAGATATACTCACGAGTACCTACAGAAAGACGAGGATCCTCCGTGTTGCATCCCTTGTGATAACAGAATCACGATCAAGCATGTCCTGCTTGACAGTAATGATTTTTCGACCACAACGGATAGATATTTCAAATCATCTTCTGTGAAGTATCTTTTTAATAGCATAATAATTTAGTTCTCATTTGTTCATTGCCCTTTTAAAAGAAATAGAATTAACTGATAAATTTTGAGGTTATTTTACATATATAGGTAGAATTTGATTGTGAACTTAAATTGTTTGTGACTGTACCCTTGATGAGGGCTGAAGTACTGTCTCCTGAGAGGGTATATAAGCCCATATCATTCAAAGAATATTCTATTCTATCACCATTTTTAATCGAATTACATTTTTGTATTTTAGATATATGGCTAACATTGCGTACAATAGCTAGCAAGTGAAGGGATGGCATAAATCCTCCAGAGGAAGTGTTGTAATGAAACCCTCAGACCAGAATTACAAAGACTTAACTGGGTGAATTCCCTCACCACTGATGAAAGATGCACAAAAAGAAAGACGTTTAAACTTGTATAGGGCTCACGTAAATCAATATTGGGATATGTTTTCTATTCTGATGAAAGTTCTGTCTGGCTTTTTCCGAACTGTGTGAAAGTGTATACAAAAGATACCGTGAAACCAATCTACCAATTGAACGCCCAAAACATAGCCTGACATTTCACATTTGGGGTGCGATAGCATCACGTGGAGTGACGCCGTTGTGTATTTTCACTGGAAATTGACGAAGAACGATATGTGGACATCTTTAATATTCACCTCCTTCCGACGGCCCGAACACTGTATGAAGATATTTGGATTTTCCAGCATGATAACGACTGGCCCAGCTACAACCCAGATCTAAACCCTACTGAGAAAGTGTGGGGACTAATGAAGGACAGAATAAACCAAAAAGGACTTACAACTATTGATGATATGAAGAAAGAAGTGGTCGAATAATGGGATACGCTGTCACACGATTTCCTGCACACTTTGATCTGTAGTGTACCAAGGCGCAGTCAGTCGTGTATTGCAGGGCAAGGAGGTTTCACAAAGTACTGGAAAGACACTTTGACTGTAAGAGAATCATATCTCAACATATTCGTCAAAGTAAAACTTCTATAGTTCATATACATGTGTGAGATATTTTCCAAAACAACTTTCTCAATAACTTCTGGGGATACTATATATATCTATGTATCTATATTTATCTATTGCTATCTATCTATATCCCTCTCTCTATATTTATATCATAAAATCTATCTATGTATCTATATCTATCTATATTTATACAAATCTATCTATAATTATATCTATATACATTATCTAAAGATTTTTATCTATATCTATATGAGTCTATCTATTTACAGCAGATACAAAATAAGGGAAGTGATAATTGGAATGTAGTAAATATGATACCATGTGTGAACAACACCAGCTCACAGGAGACCAAGGTCGGACGTCGGGGAGGTGATATTTACAAGCGCAGGTAAGCTAAAAACATGCTTAAAATAGACAGTATCTCAATAAACGGAAAAAATGGCGAACTGTGTGTATGTCAGAATGTGTTAAGGGCACGTCCATATCCCATGGTGCCAGAATGTCTGGCCAATCAAAATGTAATAATTGTGGGTTGAGTACCGCCAGTGATCTACAGTCATACGTTGCAGGTATAACAGACACCAGACAGGATCGTCTCGTTTCATTAAATGTACTGTCTGAAGCCCATTTCCGGTGTCCCCCGCCGTGATATCGCTGGAACATTGCTAAAAGCGGCGTAAAACCATATTCACTCACTCTGGGTCTTTCTAAATGTTTCAGATTGCTATCAAATTAAGAGTATCGTTATCGCAGTTTCGATGTGGCTACTATGATTTAATGTATTTTAAAAGAATATGTCATGTTACTGAGAGCCAATCCTGCAAAATGTGTGACAGGGATATTACTGAAGATGAATACCATGTCCTTCTCATCTGTCCACAGTATGAAGACCTAAGAAAGTATTATATACCATCTAAGTACACGTCCTGTCCCACATTTTACAAAATCAGCATACTAATGTCAACAGAAAATGTACAGCTACTTCAGAATATTGCTACGTTTATACACCATGCACTGTTAAAACGCAAACGCGCTTGTACCACACACCCATTGGAACTGTTTTTTTTTACTTGTACTATGGGACTCTGGCCTACAGCTCAGAAATAAAGAACTCTCACTGACATAAGGGAGGCAACTATCAAATGTCAACATAATCATCACAATTATCAGTTAACACAGGGGTAAGATTTACCCTCCTGTGTTGTCTCAATATAACACTCACTTACATGAGTTCAATCTTTATAACGCGTCATTGTTACTCCTGATGTTATCCAAAACGGATAACATGCGTTTGCTCACACTTAACAACCCTTGGTGTATAAAACCACAAGACCATACACCCTGAACTTATCAATATACACTACCCAACTGTTATCCCAACTCTAATATTTCTTATCTTACCTCACTACGTCCCCGGTAGGCTTCTGTGCCTGTGTGACCCGTGCGCTTCCTCCTGTTGACTGGGCATCTGTATCTCTTTCCTTACAGCAGCACGTGGGGGTGGGGGAGTTGGGTAGTAGTGGAGGGGGGGGACTTAAAGTTCAGGGAAAAGTGGGTAACTCAGATATCACACGCGTTGTTTGTATCCTGTACAGCATTCAATAGTTTCTAACCAAGGGTGACCATTATGACACAAATGATTTGTTTTTTTCCGCAAGGGAAACAGTGACTATGTACGCCAGTGCAAAAGATGACCCTGATTTGACTATCCCCAGAAACAGATGTTATTTGGAATAAGGAGAAAACTCTGGTTGGACCACTGAAGATCAGTGATGACACCAGGTGTTCGCGAAGCTTTATCCTCATACCCCTCTGATATCTGAGAAGGATATCCACCGAGCTCCACCTGCTCCAGGAACTGCACACTCTATATATTCGGTCCGACTTAACTATGATGCTCCAATATTCAGTGAGTGATTGAGTTTAGTTTTACGCCGCTTTTAGCAATATTCCAGCAATATCGAAGCGGGGGACACCAGAAATGGGCTTCACACATTGTACCCATGTGGGGAATCGAACCAGGGTCTTCAGCGTGACGGGCAAACGCTTTAACCACAATGCTACCCCATCGCCCATCAATATTCAGTTGTCAAGCAGCACAGGCGATTTATCATGTATTACATCCTGATGAAACTTCAAATATTACACACGCCATATTTTCTCCTCGTCTTTTTACAGACTATAAACCTCGTGACAATTCGTGCTTATATTTCCGACATTTTGTTTGTTAACAATCGGCACAGTACATAGAATCGTGATGCTTTTGCATTGCCGGGACCAGTCCGCGATGGTCGTTCAGGAAACACCAGTACTGATGCTGCAGCTAACGTTGCTCTTCATCCAACAGTACCGGATCGCAAACCAACCATTTCTGAATACTATCAACCAAGTCTCGATTCTCAGCGGAAGAATAGATGGATTCTGCAGATAAACCCCATATCATTCAACAAAGTACTTTGGAAGAGATGTAAATGATAGATTCTGCAGATAAACCCCATGTCATTCAACAAGGTACTTTGGAAGGGATGTCAATGATGGATTCTGCAGATAAACCCCATATCATTCAACAAGGAACTTTGGAAGATATGTCAATGATGGATTCTGCAGATAAACCCCATATCATTCAACAAGGTACTTAGGAAGAGATGTCAAGGATGGATTCTGCAGATAAACCCCATATCATTCAACAAGGTACTTTGGTAGGGATGTCAATGATGGATTCTCCAGATAAACCCCATATCACTCAACAAGGTACTTTGGAAGAGATGTAAATGATGGATTCTGCAGATAAACCCCATATCATTCAACAAGGTACTTAGGAAGATATGTCAATGATGGATTCTGCAGATAAACCCCATATCATTCAACAAGGTACTTTGGAAGAGATGTCAATGATGGATTCTGCAGATAAACCCCATATCATTCAACAAGGTACTTTGGAAGGGATGTCAATGATGGATTCTGCAGATAAACCCCATATCATTCAACAAGGTACTTTGGAAGATATGTAAATGATGGATTCTGCAGATAAACCCCATATCATTCAACAAGGTACTTAGGAAGATATGTAAATGATGGATTCTGCAGATAAACCCGATATCATTCAACAAGGTACTTTGGAAGATATGTAAATGATGGATTCTGCAGATAAACCCCATATCATTCAACAAGGTACTGTGGAGGAGATGTAAATGATGGATTCTACAGATAAACCCCATATCATTCAACAAGGTACTTTGGAAGGGATGTCAATGATGGATTCTGCAGATAAACCCCATATCATTCAACAAGGTACTTAGGAAGAGATGCCAATGATGGATTCTGCAGATAAACCCCATATCATTCAACAAGGTACTTTGGAAGGGCTGTCAATAATGGATTCTCCAGATAAACCCCATATCTTTCAACAAGGTTCTTTGGAAGGGATGTCAATGATGGATTCTGCAGATAAACCCCATGTCATTCAACAAGGTACTTTGGAAGATATGTCAATGATGGATTCTGCAGATAAACCCCATATCATTCAACAAGGTACTTTGGAAGGGATGTCAATGATGGATTCTGCAGATAAACCCCATATCATTCAACAAGGTACTTTGGAAGGGATGTCAATGATGGATTCTGCAGATAAACCCCATATCATTCAACAAGGTACTTTGGAAGGGATGTAAATGATGGATTCTGCAGATAAACCCAATGTCATTCAACAAGGTACTTTGGAAGAGATGTCAATGAGGGATTCTGCAGATAAACCCCATGTCATTCAACAAGGTACTTTGGAAGAGATGTAAATGATGGATTCTGCAGATAAACCCCATATCATTCAACAAGGTACTTTGGAAGGGATGTCAATGATGGATTCGGCAGATAAACCCCATATCATTCAACAAGGTACTTTGGAAGGTATGTCAATGATGGATTCTGCAGATAAACCCCATATCATTCAACAAGGTACTTTGGAAGGGATGTCAATGATGGATTCTACAGATAAACCCCATATCATTCAACAAGGTACTTTGGAAGGGATGTCAATGATGGATTCTGCAGATAAACCCCATATCATTCAACAAGGTACTTAGGAAGAGATGCCAAAGATGGATTCTGCAGATAAACCCCATATCATTCAACAAGGTACTTAGGAAGAGATGCCAATGATGGATTCTGCAGATAAACCCCATATCATTCAACAAGGTACTTTGGAAGAGATGTAAATGATGGATTCTGCAGATAAACCCCATATCATTCAACAAGGTACTTTGGAAGGGATGTCAGTGATGGATCCTGCAGATAAACCCCATATCATTCAACAAGGTACTTTGGAAGAGATGTCAATGATGGATTCTGCAGATAAACCCCATATCATTCAACAAGGTACTTTGGAAGGGATGTCAATGAGGGATTCTGCAGATAAACCCCATATCATTCAACAAGGAACTTTGGAAGATATGTCAATGATGGATTCTGCAGATAAACCCCATATCATTCAACAAGGTACTTAGGAAGAGATGTCAAGGATGGATTCTGCAGATAAACCCCATATCATTCAACAAGGTACTTTGGAAGGGATGTCAATGATGGATTCTGCAGATAAACCCCATATCATTCAACAAGGTACTTTGGAAGAGATTTCAACGATGGATTCTGCAGATAAACCCCACATCATTCAACAAGGTACTTAGGAAGATATGTCAATGATGGATTCTGCAGATTAACCCCATATCATTCAACAAGGTACTTTGGAAGAGATGTCAATGATGGATTCTGCAGATAAACCCCATATCATTCAACAAGGTACTTTGGAAGGGATGTAAATGATGGATTCTGCAGATAAACCCCATATCATTCAACAAGGTACTTTGGAAGAGATGTAAATGATGGATTCTGCAGATAAACCCCATATCATTCAACAAGGTACTTAGGAAGATATGTAAATGATGGATTCTGCAGATAAACCCTATATCATTCAACAAGGTACTTTGGAAGATATGTAAATGATGGATTCTGCAGATAAACCCCATATCATTCAACAAGGTACTGTGGAGGAGATGTAAATGATGGATTCTACAGATAAACCCCATATCATTCAACAAGGTACTTTGGAAGGTATGTCAATGATGGATTCTGCAGATAAACCCCATATCATTCAACAAGGTACTTAGGAAGAGATGTCAATAATGGATTCTGCAGATAAACCCCATATCATTCAACAAGGTACTTTGGAAGAGATGTCAATGATGGATTCTGCAGATAAACCCCATATCATTCAACAAGGTTCTTTGGAAGGGATGTCAATGATGGATTCTGCAGATAAACCCCATATCATTCAACAAGGTACTTTGGAAGGGATGCAAATGATGGATTCTGCAGATAAACCCCATATCATTCAACAAGGTACTTAGGAAGAGATGTCAATAATGGATTCTGCAGATAAACCCCATATCATTCAACAAGGTACTTTGGTAGGGATGTCAATGATGGATTCTCCAGATAAACCCCATATCATTCAACAAGGTACTTTGGAAGGGATGTAAATGATGGATTCTGCAGATAAACCCCATATCATTCAACAAGGTACTTTGGAAGAGATGTCAATGATGGATTCTGCAGATAAACCCCATATCATTCAACAAGGTACTTAGGAAGATATGTAAATGATGGATTCTGCAGATAAACCCCATATCATTCAACAAGGTACTTTGGAAGATATGTAAATGATGGATTCTGCAGATAAACCCCATATCATTCAACAAGGTACTGTGGAGGAGATGTAAATGATGGATTCTACAGATAAACCCCATATCATTCAACAAGGTACTTTGGAAGGGATGTCAATGATGGATTCTGCAGATAAACCCCATATCATTCAACAAGGTACTTTGGAAGAGATGTCAAGGATGGTTTCTGCAGATAAACCCCATATCATTCAACAAGGTACTTTGGAAGGGATGTCAATGATGGATTCTGCAGATAAACCCCATATCATTCAACAAGGTTCTTTGGAAGGGATGTCAATGATGGATTCTGCAGATAAACCCCATATCATTCAACAAGGTACTTTGGAAGAGATGTAAATGATGGATTCTGCAGATAAACCCCATATCATTCAACAAGGTACTTTGGAAGGGATGTAAATGATGGATTCTGCAGATAAACCCCATATCATTCAACAAGGTACTTTGGAAGAGATGTAAATGATGGATTCTGCAGATAAACCCCATATCATTCAACAAGGTACTTAGGAAGATATGTAAATGATGGATTCTGCAGATAAACCCCATATCATTCAACAAGGTACTTTGGAAGATATGTAAATGATGGATTCTGCAGATAAACCCCATATCATTCAACAAGGTACTGTGGAGGAGATGTAAATGATGGATTCTACAGATAAACCCCATATCATTCAACAAGGTACTTTGGAAGGGATGTCAATGATGGATTCTGCAGATAAACCCCATATCATTCAACAAGGT